ACACCCCACCCCACCTGCTGTGTCAATAGTAGCAGCCAGCTGTCCATTCTTTTTGGCAGCCACATATTTTCCATTGTTGGCACGCAGGGTTATCTTCTTCCCATGCCACTCAATGTCAAAGTAGCAGTTAGCAGACCTGGTCGAAGAAATTATACATGTATAATTATACATTATCCTTTTTTTTATAATGCTACAAAAGATTTCTATTTCAAATGAACACTGTTCTTTTAAACTTCTTATTCATCTAACAATCCAAAAACAAAACCGTTTCAACACTGATAAGAAATGTTTCTTGAGCAGCAAATCAGTATATTAGAATGATTTCTGAAGGATCATGAACCACTAAAAACTAAAATAACAGCTGCTGAAAATTCAGTGCTGTCATTACTGGAATAAGTTACATTTTAAAATATATTAAAATAGAAAACACTTATTTTAAATTGTAATCTTTTTTTTATATTTTTGTAAATGCAGCCTCGGTGAGCAGAAGAGACTTCCTTTCAAAAACTAAAACCTCAAACTTTTGAACAGCAGTGTAAATAGGTCTTCGATTAAAAAGTCTAAAACTGAATGTAGTCTGACTTTTCTCAAAAGGGTCTTTAATTTTATTATAAATGTGAATTTGTTAATTCTGATATTGAAGAAAAATGGTTTGGGTTTATCTGAGCTGATTTTCTGTCTTACAATTTGACCCCAACACTAAGCATTTAAGATACCTTTTACCATCTAATTACATTAATATTGTATGGTTAGTGCAAGACATTAAAAAGTGGGCCTACCCCAACACAGAGATTCTTTCATCTAAAGAATGCTAGTAAGAAAACACTGGCAACACTAAGCCATCTTCATTATGGCATGTTACTGTGATTCACACTCACTTAGTAGAGGCAGTGCACTGAAGGCCACCATTAGCTGTGAGGGTCCAGTATTTGCCAGTGCAGGTCCTGAAGGCACACTTCTTCGTGTCCTTACTGATTTCCATTTGGAAAGTCTCCTGGTCACCTTCTTCATCCTGGTTGGCAGAGAGGTCCATGCCTGTCAAACACAAAAACACAGCATACTGTAAACCACATTATAAAAACCAAACCCCTGGCTTTCACCAGCGTGAGCTCACAACACATCTTAGATCTGGTTTAGCCATGCTGAGTGAGCTTGGCAGTTTTGGGATGCTGATCTTTGAGATTACTTGACTAAAGAGTGTTGAATGCCATGGACTATCACTCTGGCAATTGCTTTGGGACACACACACACACACACACACACACAGAGAGAGAGAGAGAGTTAATCGCCCTAAGAATTTTGGACTGTCATATATGCCAGGAAGCTTAGTGGGAGGCTTCAGGACAACAAGAGTCAATGCAATGGTTTGTGGTTTAGATTCATGGAGCTCAATGAAAGACCAGACCACCAGTCCTCTACTGCAGGAAATCTAATTAAACTCCATTGTGTGCATTTAGAAACACAGACATCAGATAAATCTAGCGTTTATGGTCTAAACCTCTTTGGAGAGGAAAACAGAAGACAGGTTTTTGAAAGGAAATATTAAAGCTACATTAAGACAAACATCTACAAGATGAAGTTACAGCTATAATTTTATTAACATCTACTCTGAGAATGAATTGTTTGGTGAAATCAAAAATCTTTTGGAACAATACATGGTAATCTGCAATTCACCGTGATTGCCTTCATGTTCCAGTTTCACAAAGCTCGTAATACAGCTA